AACTCAGAACAACTTCAAAAGTCCTGCAGAACTCATTAGGCTGATTCAACAGTTATAAAGAGACTAAGCAAAAAGATGCTAAGGTGATTCTTTGCTTTGCACAAGAGAATCTTAAACTCCTCTCTTATAACCATTTGAAACTTCCCTGAGATTTTCATCACTGTAGTTTCCAAACAAGAGGCGGTGCATACTGAAATAAAAAAATAAAATAAAATTGACGTTTACAGTTCAGGAGGTCAAACATATATTAAACATAGCCCTTTTAATGCTAATTCTGTGTTTTATCTTGTAGAAAGAAGCATTGATGGAGCAGGTGGCGCACCAAGCCGTGGTTATGCAGTTTATCTTAGAAATGGCCTCAAATTCTCAACAGGACCCTCGAGGCTGCTTCAGGCAATTCTTCCACAAAGCGAAAGTACGCCACAGACAGTTTATATATTGTATAATGTATCTATATCTGCTATCTTTATACCGCAACTATGACCCAAGGCTTTATAAACAAATATTTGACATGTTGTCGCTTTGCAGGAGGGACAGGACGTCTACCTTGAAGTCTTCAGAGCAGAACTTGACGCCTTCAAACAGAGAGTTGAAGAATATGCAGCTAAATGTAGAAATGACGTTTTGAACGTTGATCAGCAGAGCGTCGACACAAACTGTAGACCTAACACCAAAGTAACAACAGACTTTATATCACAGGTGAGCACTGCTGGGCTCTCAGGCGCCACTCAATCGTGTGACTTCTTGTAGTTACCCTGTTCAACTGATAGATGGCACTGAAACGCAGTTGTTTTAAAATTAGTACAAGTTTTGCCAAAAATTGCCAATTTTTAAAAAATATGTTATTTTATTATTATGTTATTATTATTATAATATTTGTTATTGTCAAAAAATGCTCAGTACATGTTCAGTTTAGTGCATTTGGCTGCAGATCTTTTAACAACTTCTTCCTGAAAAAACTTCTCATAGTAAAGTTTCTCCTATCTGCCTGAGCTTCAGTAAATCAGACTTTTTCGTATTATGAGGTTATTTAAAATTAGACTTGCAACTATAAATGGAAGTAATATGTTTTGAGCTACAAATACTGCACATATAAGCAGAATAAAAATATATTTGTGCACATTTTAGTTATACCTGAAAGATAAAATAACAGTACCTTCATCCTAGACAATATTTCACTTTTCATATTTTATATTATCCATGATAAAAAGGGGGAATACATTCTGTTAAGTTGTAGTGTATTGACTAATATTTTATGAATGCTGTTTTTTACTAATGTACACACAATATATTGTCATGGGGGAAAAGAAAGTACACTCTCTTCCATGTGTAGAGTTTTGTGCTTCGGCTCATAATAAGGATGATCTGGTCTTTACTGGGTTTAAAATGACTGAAATCAAACCTCAGTGGAACCACAGTGTTATTATTTACTGAACAAAGAAGAATGCGGTGGACCTCTGCTTTGGTTTCATCTTTGCAAAGGACACTCTCCTAGAAACCTCCTTCTGTTTTTGAGCTGAAAGTTTGTGTTGCTGCATTATTATTTTTAGACAAAAAAAAAGATAATGTTCTTGCCATCTTTTCCAACCAAACAGCATTCAGTATTTTTCATATTTTGGTCACTTTAGCATGCAAACTGAGATCCGTGTTAAAGCTGTGGGTACGACTTTTAATTTCTCAGATAATGGGTAATCTGAGCTGGACTTGAATATGCTGGGATTCCAATTGTGTTTAGTTTTTCGACACCACTTTAGTTTTGAATATTCCGATGTTTAATTTGGGAAAAAAAGTACACAGCAGAGTCTGGTTTTTGTATGTGTGTGTGTATTTTTATTTTAATTTGAATGATTTTTTTTTTTAGCTTGAACGAAAAAACAATGTAAATAAAAAGGTTTTTTTTCTCCTTTGTGCTACAAATCCATCTAAAGTATCTTGCTTTAAAGTCAAGGTGTATTTAAAAACATATATGTTACATATTATTAGATATCCCTGTAGTCTTTATTATCACTTAAATATCTCAGTGGACCCATTTCACCTATTTTTTTTTTATTATTATTATTTATCTTGACAATAAACACATCTGTTTATTGTTATGGATTTATTGAACAAGTCTTTTTTTCAGTTGGAATTCACTCCTTAGCTAATTTTGACACTTTAAAAAGCAAATTATAGGTTTTCAAAATATAGAAACAAATGCTTGTAATCCAGTGATGGATTAAATGCTCTCCTGTTGCTTTGTTAATTGGAATTTTTAACATTTAGACATTTTCCTTTGGTATCTCCAAATAACCAATAATACGCCAGTTCTCCACATTCTATTCAGCGAACCTTTTCATCGTTTCTTTGAAAAGGCTTTTGTAAGCGAGGTAGAGAAAGGGGGCCACAAAACCCCCGCTGCTGGCCTCACAGCTTGATTAGCAGCCAAACATTTACTCCGCAATAGAAAATCCTGTTTCTCAAGATGGTTGAACTTGTTGATGTTCAAGCTGGTCCTGCTTTTGGATTTCAATGTTTTTATTTCTTTATCGTGCCTCACGTGGCTCTATTTTTCGCCTTTTCTAGTTGTGTAAAATATATTTCAGAGCTATATTTGTTGGTTTCAGCCTATGCGATACTTGCATAATTTATTGTCTCAGCAATTTATTTCTTTTTCTTGCCTTTGACTTCTAGGAGGATCCTGAATTCAAGATGAAGCACTGTTTAGAGGCTGGACTGTGGACAAATACAGGAAAATGGACAAAGGACGACGCCACAGAAACAGAAGACATCCGGATGATGGAAATATCGTAAGGACTGTTGCCTCGACTCCTGCTTTCCTCCCACCCCACTCGTCTGTCCACATAGGAACAATCTTGAGTTTGTAAGCCTTCATCCAGAGCAGCAGGCTGAAACGGCATTACAGAGCAGGAATAAATGGAGACATGGTCATCCTTTGTGTCGCATCTTTCAGCAGAACCAGGAGGAAGTTATGTTTTGCTGATGGCAAACATTTTTTAACATTTCATGTGCATTTGGCTACTGCTGCAGAGTGTCCTGCTAGCCAATAAATGCGTATGCTACGCTGTAGTGTAACCTCCTTTTTTTTCTCAAGATGAAACCGCTCTTTTGCTGTTCTTAAAAGACAAAGAATTCAAAACGTACAGAGAACAATTAATGTGAAAATCTAAGAGAACAATATCTGATAAATCAGGAGCTTTGTGATTTGCTAAGCTGGGGCAGAAATGTAATTGGATGTTGATGATGTAAAGGGGGGGGGGATGCTTTGAATTAAGTTTATTATCAGCCTGTTTGTAGACAAATCTATATGTGTAAGAGTTTCCCAGCTAAATGTACCTTATTGACATAAACACCATCATATTATGTATTACAAATCATGTGCAGTACAGGCCTTACTTCTCCAACTTACTCCTCTGAACAACCTGGATTTTTTTCTTTTCTTTTTTTTTTTTTTTTTGCCTTAACCTCACCTACAAGGAGCAGTTAAAGTTAACATGTTAAATGAAACACTTGTTTGTTGTAATGTGCAGAGGAAAAATAAATAATGTGGTTACAGTGTTTTGCTATTTATTTTGTCTAATCACCACATCTGTTTTGATCAGGTTTTCTCCCACTCTCACTGCTGATCTCTCAGGCAAAGCTGCTGCAGTCAGTCTGGACTGGTGCGCCGGTGTACCAAAACCAGTAAAGAAACATTTCAAGATAGTAACTTTTGCCACCAAGAGTCACCTGTTTTATGTGGTTTTGTGATATTTAAGATTTATAGTTGAGACGGCAAGAATGCTGTTAGCCATCACTGGCTTTAAGTTGTTTTGAACACTTGTGCTGTGCGAACAAGTGAACAGCTGATGCACTTTAAGGATTACTGCAAGTAACTCCCACTCAAAACGTATCCCGGCATGCTGTCCAGAAAGGTTTAGAGTCTAAACCTTATTTAATAAACTGAATTTAAGCATTTCATGCTGAAAAAATACAATATACAGCATATTTTTAATTTACAGCATTCTTTACAGATGACCTCATGCTGAGTCTATTTCATTAAACATATTTTTGGACAAAAAACACTTTTAGACAATTCATATAATTTTGCATCTTCATGTGATTTATTTTTTTTAATTTCTATTTCCCCTGAACAAATGCAGACTTTAGCATCGGTTGTTACTAACTTCCATTTTAAACATGTCACCAATTGTCTCCATTTTCTCATCGCTGTGGAGCTTTTATCTCAATAATGGGCTCCCGTTCTTCTGTTCCCATGGTAACAATTTTTATGATCTTAACAAGACTGCATAAAACAATGTAAAAATCTGCTGAGCAACACCATCAGTGAGATGGGTTTTGGAGTTAGGGGAATGCCATTTGGGACTAAAGGCAGATGCATGATGCGTTGATTTTTGCAGCACCGTTGTCGTCTCGCCTCAGAATCCTTATTTCCAGCATCTGTTCTGCATTCAGCTGATCTTTACCACTACATACAGAATGACTTAAATGCATCAAAACTCAATAATGTGCTGTGGTCGACTGTTAATACCTTCTGTTGCCTCTTTAAAAATAAAGGCAAATTTTTTTTTTACATCAGTTCCATGAGTCATGCTTTGATACATTTTGACTCAGATCCTGTTACTCGGCCTCCGCGGAGCAAAGCAAAGCTTCTGCCTGAGAGGACTGCATTGATACAGATACTAAAAGAAAAGAAAGAAAACATCCTGAGCATAACATTTATTATTGAAATGTTTGTCTAATTTTTAGCGTCCTATTATGATGCTGGAATAAAGAGGACATTTGTTCAAAAGCTCTTTAGACATTTACCAATCAACCAAAACAGAAAGGGAGTTGTGCATGATGTCTGGTTTTGGTCAATAAGTGTGCATGTGGACCATTGACGCTAAAATTGCCCAATGACACAGAATGACAGAATATTAAACTGCAGACACAGAAAGAGGCTACATTCCTGCTGTGAAAGTCAATAAATGATAAACAATGAAAGAGAACACACGTTGTCATTCAAGTGTACAGTACAAGACATTTATTGTGATTCATAAATATCTGAGTTATATATGAAAAGATGGCTGTTGCATTTAAACAATGCATGGAAGTGTTTATAAAACCAGAATGACCACATACAATACACTGCACAGGAGTATCATTAAGGCTTTTTTTTACAGGGTAAACATTCAGAACAATGTGCAAAAACTGCAAGCTGATACCTTCTGACAACATTTGACCCTGTATAACATGTGTCCATGTATGTGTTCATCAATTTTTTCTGCTGTCAGGTCAGACTAAATAAATGCCAAATATCGCTCACGAGGAATATAGTCACAATGAGGAATGGACGAGGAAATTTATAAGTGGAGTGCTTCAGAGGCATCACTTGTAAGACCTGAGGTGGTTGAAAGGAGCTGTTATGCAACACATTTCTTGTAAGAATTGTAAAAATATCCATTATTATAAATGTCCATTTATAAATTATTTAAATTGGTCCATGATTAGAGGAAAACAAAGTGTTTAAAAACCCAACCTTTATCAAGCTGAATAGCAGCAAAAGGCACGTGTGCATGTATGAGAATCAAACCCAACAGCATGTTCTGCTTAAAGGAAAGAGCCACTGCAGAAGAAATGGGCCACATTAGGCTGATATGCACATTTGTTGTTACACTACAAAAAAATAGCTTCCTTTCCAGGATTTATGATTTAAAAAAACAACGGCTGCTGCTGCTGATGTTTAGCTCATGCCAACAGGTTGTGTGTGCTGGGATTACATTTAGAAGAATTAAACCTGGTTTTGTTCATGCCACAACAGCTGCCGTGGTCCTCCTGCAGCATCTCGTGCAATCTGGCCCCTTCATGTTGTGCTCCTGCAAAACTTCAGGTTTAGATCAGCTGTTAACTTATGACTTCATAAAGGCACAAAGTGGACACACTAACAGCAAATGGTTAAAAAGGTTTTGCACACACTCGTCTGAATTCTCCTCCCCCAAATTATTTCAACAACACAGAGGTTTTAAGAACATATATAAAAAAAAGAAGACTGTTTTCTAACATAGGTTAGTAGTCTTATTCTGCTTTTCGTAAAAGAGCCAAATCTTCATTTGCAAATTTAAGGGCTTTACCTTCAATGAAACATAATTCCTCTATGCTCCACCACTATTTACATGCTGCATTTTTGATTGGACGGTGCACAGTTTGGTTTTCCATCAGTAAACTTGAGCCGTTCTTGGATTTTGCTGAGGCTAAGCAGCTCTTTGACTGAGGGAGGAGAATTTTCTGTGGAGAAAAGCTTCGACGTGCGGCCATATCTTGTTGGTTTCTGTTCCCGTAAAGCTCTCCAGCACACCTTTACTCCTGGGAAGAGAAAAGTAAACACAAACTCAGAAAAGAGTATTTATAAAGGCTGTCAAAAGCCAATGCACACATAATGCAAGCTTTATACTGATAACACAAACAAATCTGCTTGCACAAGTGTGGAACTAATATTGTTGAATGATCTTTTAAGGTAATTTTAGTATTTAGTCCTCTTAAGTTTACACCTGCCATCAATTCAGGTCAACCTCAAATGAACTTGAGCTGTGACAAGAGGATTTCCTGGGAGTTACTCATTTGAATCCTTGAGCCAAAGCACCGCTTTTACAGACAGGTTACACTACAGCAAAATAATCTTATTGTGCAAAGGTGTCATTCAGGAGCCAGCATAATTAGAGAGGATCTGGAACAACAATAACATTACAAAAGCTGAATGTTGTCTTTTCTTCCAAGGACAGCATTCTGTTGATGGAACTGAGGATTTTGTCAAGTTGGTAAAGGAAAAAATTGACTGGAAGAAGTCTGGCACTATATGAAGAAAGGATGATCTGTTTGTTCCTCCATCCACAGATTGTAGATAATTTTCAATATTAAACCTGAGTTTCTCAAGGCAAACTGTTTGCAAACTGCCAACAAACAAAAAGAAGAAGAAGAAGAAGAAGAAGAAGAAGAAGAAGAAGAAGAAGAAGAAGAAGAAGAAGGCAGTGCGCTTGGAGGACCAGAATCTTAGATTCACTTCATGAGAGGAATGATTTAAGTTTACAAATGACCTAGTTTGAGTCTAGAACTAAATCTGTCAGAAAATCTGTGAGGTCAGATGAAGAGGGTTGTGGAGAAAAGATATTCTCACAGTCAGTCTGATAGACCTGGAGAACGGATAAACATTACCAACCCAAATAAAAAATGTTAAAAGTCTGGTTTCTATTCATAATTGTTGTTCAAAAAAATAATGAGTAGTATTTATTCAAGGAGTCTTCGACTGACTACAGATGCATGCCACACTTTTCAGATTTCATGTGTTTAAAAAAAAAAAAAAAACCCGAACTGTTCTTTCCGCATTATGTTGGTTAGCCACATATCATATCTCAATAAAATGCACTGAAATATGTGGTTGCCACATTACTGTACGCTCAACATGTTTCTGCTTACATGTCATGAGGAGGAACAAAATCTGAGCTGAGCTGAGCTGAGCCACCCCGTCCCGTAGTTCCCTTGGAATGTGATTCTTAGGCAGCTACTCGGTCACTGGGAGTAAAGAGGTCAGGGTTCATCAGCTGTGACCTTTCACCTACATTTATGCATTTTCTTTCCTCGACTACTTGAAGCTCTAATGCTTCCAACCCATCCAGAGATAAAGCTAGAGGATTGTAATTATTCAGATAAAGCAAGCGAAGCATAAATAGACTGTATCCTGGGTGCAATTCTTGAGAGAAATTATTTAAATTGCCATAGTTCATTCAGCCGTTAATAAAGACAAACTTGTTCCTCACTTTCAGTGCTCACATGACTGATCAATGTGTGATCGTTTTTCCAGGATAAGAGGAGCCGATTGTCTCTGGTTCTTCCTTGCTAAACTAAATGCAAATAAACTTAAAAGACTCAAAACCTCATGGAAGAATCACAAAATCGAAAAGGTAAATGAATATGTTGTGTGGAAATTGTTAAAGCAGTCTGGTGAGTTTTGTGTGGACATTAGAAAAGCTTCTTCAGTGCATCTTAAAAAGGTAGCTGACAAAGTTAATTGTCAGCAAAAATGCCAGATATTCTTTGCACACGTTTTGAAAAAGAAAAAGAAAACTACTGATAAAAATAATAATTGCTACATCATCGATTCTAAACTGAACTATCTGAATTCAGTTTACGTTGCAGCTACCTGTAGAACTCCAGGACGGGTTCTGTCTGGGTTTCATAGGACTTCAGTCTCCGTGTGACCGTCTCCGGTCTGTCGTCATCTCTCTGAACCAGAGGCTCTCCTGTCACATCGTCCAAACCCTGGAGAGAGGACGAGAAACACGGTGGCACTTTATGTACTTATTAATAACAATTAGAGTGAGTTGGGTATATTTGAATAAAGGTGCAAATTGTGGGTGTTGCTGCAATTCATACCTAACATTTCTTATATCTTAGCATAAAGGTGTGTAATTAACAATAATAACTTAATAATGAAAATTAACTTATTTGTTTTTAACCACATCATTTATTTATGTAGTTATTTACTTGTGATGCCAATAATAATATTAATAAGAGCATAATTATTCAATTATAATTTGCTAATTTAATAAACAAAAATGAATTTTCATTCATTTTTTATTGTTAATGTTTTCAACCATTAAATGATTAATATATTAATATCATGTATTGAATAATTTACCATAATAATAAGCCAGAAATGTTGAGATATAATTTTTTTTATATATGCAGAGAAGGAAAATAAGGGTTCTGAGATCTTACTTTTCCAAGTCTTATTGAGCTAGAATAAGGAGGAAACCACTGCATATTCAGCCTCTTTGACCAAACTCCTTCTGTAAATATTTCCTTTGCCAAACGGGAGCACTAGAAGCCAATCATGATCCGCATACGTGATGCTGCTCCACAATGAACAGGAAATCTTGACATGTGACCAAGGGACCATAAACTATAAATCATCTATCAGCCTTCAGCTTCTAATTGTGTCTCATTTCTGTTGCTTTCGATCTGAGCCTGAATTTGTTTCTTATTTCCCATTTCAATCAGCTATCTGGAAATCTGTTTTTTGGAGGCGGTGTCTTCTACTTCTCCCATCTGTTATTTCAATCTGTGGCAGCTTCTTCCACTTTTGTTGCTCAAATGCCGTTTCACACCGTAATGTTTTTTTTTTTTTTTTTTTTTTTTTTTTAAGCAGAAGCACTAATTAGAGGCAGACCCCTGATTTTGTCATGCATCATAATATCATCTCTAGCACTCATACTGCCTCTAGGAAAAAAAAAAAAAAAAAAAAAAAAAAAAAACTATTTGAACCATATTTCCAAATTTGAAAATTACAGTGTTTTACAGAGGGTTCAATGCATCGAGCAATAATTAAGCAGTCATTACTGGCACCCATGGTAAAGATAAGAAAAAAAAAAAACATATTATGAATGGAATTGTATAAGCTTCCATAAAAGTTCTAGAAAAAAAAATTAAGTCAATTCAGTGGATATTTTTTAAATAATAATAATAAAAAATAAAACACCATAGACGTTACCTTTTTCAGCCAGTCTTCAAAATGGGAAAGACAAATGAACATCTGAATTCAGTTGTAGCCTTACTATTTTCTACAGTCAGAGCAATAATTAACCAGCTCAAAAAAACTTGAACAGGATTAACAAAGACACACTTATATTTGACAAGGTGGGGGAGGGGAACGTTCACCAAGTTTACATGACAACCATTTCCTTCAAGTCTCCAATTGTTTCCCTGGGGTGATGTTTTTTTTTTTGTTTTGTTTTTTTTTTACGAGCTTACCATCCCTTCATGTCTCATTGGATCGCTGGAAAGTAGAGGCATGTGTTTTGCTGTTCTTTTTTCCTCTCCGTATTTTACAGTCAAGCTTTTAACAAGGTCAGATTAAGTTGCCATGGCAGCTGGGACCTGCTGAACCATTTGTCACTCTCCTCTCTCTGCTCCCACCTTTATTCCACCTTTATGTTGTTTTGGGTCAACACTGCTCCTGGTCAGAAATCAAAGTTTGTTCAGTCTGCCTCTGGGAATAATTTCCCACAGATCCGAAAGGAGCTTTTCTCAGAAATGACTCTACTTTTCTCATATTTGGACATAAAATGTTTTTCCCCTTGGTCATTTTTATTAATTGTGGAGCGAAAATCATATGACAGAGAGGGGATACTTACAGGAACTTTCGGTGGGTTGAAATCTGTATTATAGACTCTGCCGCTGGGGATGTGAGTCCAACGAGAGGTCAGCCTTTCTTTGATGGTCTGGAAAGGGACATCCAGGTTGATGACTGTATCTAAAGAGAAGGCATTATCGAGAGCCTCCGCCTGGGACACAGTCCGAGGAAATCCTGGGAATAAAAGACAGATGAACAGACGTGAGGAAGGCAAGCGAACCAAGGGGGGGGGGGGGATAAAAAACAAAATCTCCATACAGATAAGTTACAATAAGGCAGCGGCTCTCTTGAGTGGTTTATCAATAACTAGAAATAACCGATGGTGGCTTGCTTCACACAGGTCGTGTGATCTCAAACAGCCAATGCCGATAACGTGTTCCCCCTGCTATAGTTTCCAAGAAAAGAAGCGAACGAAACAGACAAGCGAGGCCTTGTACCGTCAAGCAGCCAGCCGCTGTTGTCTATCTTCCTCAGGTCATTCAGGATGAGACGGGAAATGATGTCGTCAGGCACCAGCTGTCCCTGATCGATGCAGGACTTCATCAACAGGCCGAGCTCTGACAATGAAGATGGAGATTTGCGTGTTAGAGAATGCTCTCTTTTCTTTTCGTGACTTTTTTTTTTTTTAAATCAATCTCAAAGCTTATTTAAATTCTTTGCAAGGACCTGGAAAAAGTATTCTATCATTTGATAACACGTTTTCCCACCTTTTGTCACATTTTAAATCTGTAATTAGTTTTACAATTCAGACCTCTTTCTTCTGATAATTAACATCAAGAGTCACTTCTTAAGTGGAGCCCACCTGGATCTACTTTTCTCATGGGAAATGTTTTCACTTATAATTTAGTTATGGCGACTTAGCTTTAAATAAACAGTTTTAAATTGTTTCACAATTCACAGATTTTTCATGTCACAATTTTACTCCGTACCACTATTAAATCTAAACAGATATTTTTTACAGTATAAAGTACAGATGCACTTTGAAGTCCTCAGAGAGAACATAAGTGAACAGACAGATACATGTTTAAAGCAAGTTTAGTTTATCAAACGATATATCCAGCTTTGAACATTTGACGAGCACAGCAACAGAAAATGGTGGGGGCAGCATCATGCTAAGGGATAGATTTCTTCCCAATGGTTAGTGAAGCTAGTCGGAGCTTACGGGAGGATTAATGGAGCTAAATACAGAACAGCCCTGAAAGAAAACCAGAGCCTGCAGAAATGGAGATGGTTCACTGTCCAGCAGGGTGATGACTCGAAAATACCACAAAGGTACAAGGAAATGATTTGTATCAAGGCATATTTATGTGACTGAATGATCCAGTTGAAGTCGAGACATAAATTATGCACTAATTTATCTTGCTCTGTCACATATAACTCAATAAGATTAAAGGTTATGGTTGCAGGTGGTTTTGGCATCAGAAGCTGCTGGTTTCCAACAAATATGAAAGGTATTAAAGTCACACAGGCCAGTGGATTTTTTTATTTTTTTAAAAAAAACCTCTTCTCAATATAGCTAATACAGAGATCACAACTCAATTCCAAGGCACACAAAAGGACAGCTGTTACTATTTTCAGCTGCTAAGGAGAAGAAAGCTCCTAAACGGTTTTTTTTTTTTTTTCAATTGAAGCTTCAGACCACAAACAACCAGCCGTTAATCTGGCTCCTCAAAACCTTGTCAAAACAAACAGCAGCCATATGGTCCTTTGACCAGGATTTAATTTAGTAATTGATGACTTCAGACCAGTCAACGGCTTTAGGAGACATTACCATGGTTGGTAATATGACTTAAAGCTCTTCACAAGAACAGCTGAGGTTTGGATTTATGGCTTCAGACCCTATGCTGAAAAACGTTCCTGCATTTTCACCAAAAAAAAAAAAAAAAAAAAAGAGAGAGAGCATCTCTACATCTTTTAAATGCAGAGGTTAAACTGCATTTAAAAGATGGATTTGTGTTGCAGCCAGTTGGCACAGATGATATTTCACCACACCAGTGTAGGAGAGAATAAAGTGGATCGAATGACACCAAATTATGGTTGAAAACGCTGGAAAACAATGATTGGAGTATGGCTTCACAACAAGAAAAGTGCACATTACACAACTCAAAGTGCACAAGCAAAGACGTCACTTAAAGTCTGCAAACAGAAAAAAGATACAGAATTCAGGAGAGTCAGAAATTCACAAATTTCTATTTTGAAAAAGCAAAACAGTCCAAAGCACATGGCTACAAGCTGTAATTTGTTTTGACTGGTATAACAGATGGACAAAATTATTTATTAATGACTCAAAGAAATAATGATCAGTGAGTGACATGATTGTTTATGTCTTCATTATTAAAATTGCATACAATTATTTTTAAGTGATTTGCAAAAGTGTCTCTTTTCTACATTTTTTTATTTTTATTTTTTACCATATATCCATAAACATGAATATATGGTCTTGCCAACTGTTGTCGCTCTAGCTGCGTGTATGAGATCACTCTCCTCCAGAAAGGTTCAACATTCTCAAGTTGTTTAGTAACAGCTTTTCTCCCGGTATTTCCAGTATTTAGCTTTGTTCACCTTCCCATTTAACCACCTTCCTTTTCTGGCACGATCCACGTTTCACAGTAGAGACGGTGTCTCTACAGTGTTACTTTTCCACCACAAATAGCGTTTTTCAATAGTTACAATGGCTGCTTCTCTGATTAACGCTCTCCTTGCCCACCCTCTCAGATCAGGTGGACGGCCATGTCTTCCTGTGCTTGGATTTGTGCCACAGTCTTCCCATTTTAGGGTGATGGATTGAGCGGTCCCCTGGGAAAAGCTCAAAACGTATGACATTGTTCTATAACCTAATCCTACCTTAAATCTCTCTGCAGCTTTATCGCCGAGCTGTCTGGTGTGTTCTCTGGTCTGCACGGAGCTGCTTGTTCACTGATCTCCTCTTGCAAACCTCTTTACACAACAGCAGCATTTCTACTGAGATGACTCGTTTTACTATGAGTCTTTTGATTGCAATTTAGTTGCACTGGATTTTTTTAAAGAGGTTTTTACATTAAATATGAATAATTATATTAAAATATTCTAAAACAATGTTTTTACTTTTAAGTTTGTATTGCATAAAAACCAAATGACAAAAGGACATTTGAAAGTGCAAAGGCTGTGAATAGTTTTGCAAGGTGCGAAGAAAAGAAAAAAAAAAAAAACAAAGCAATGAGAATGAAGGACACTGGGAAGGTGAAACCACTTTTTTTCTGTCATTTTCACTCGAGGAGCTCAGAATCCAACTGAAGGAAGTCATTTTCTCACAAGTCTTGCCGAAACTTCCTGACTCTGCTTCCGATGTGAGCATGAAGCAGTGCAAAAGGTCAGACTTGACGATCGTCACAACAGAAGCTCCTGAAGGTTGTTTTCTCTCGGCTTTAAGGAAACAGGTCAACGACCTGCACAATATATGTCTTTTTAATATCAGTGGCATTGATGCAAGACTTTCTCTACTGTAATGGAAAGAGTTAGTTCTAGGAAAAGTCCCAAACCAAATTTGCATTTCTCTGAGAATGATTAATGAGACCCTGTAGAACAATCAGGCTGGCAAAAGCTCAGCAGTTAAAGTCAGACGACTGGAGAGCAAAATTCAATCAGCCACTATTACTACTTATTTAATGAAACTAAATATCAAAGTTTGGTTTACTCAACAGAAACAATCCTGCAATACATAAATGAGGACTGACTAAATTTAACCCTTAAACTTAATGCATTTTTGCAGAGTCGACATATTTAGTCCCTATGGCCTTCATCAGCAGTTTTTAAACTTTAAGCTGCAAAACTTAAGACAGACTGGAAAACTGGGGGGAGGGGAAGGGGGGGCTAAAATGCACCATTTGAAATTTGCAGAAGACTCCTGATTCAGTGCAGATATGACATCTTCTCTGCTCTGATAATGATTTCTCTGTCGTGCAGTTGTTATAGAAAGCTTCTTTATCACCAATCCTCCTTCCCAGGGAACAAAAGTTCACAGTTAACACTTATCTTTACAGCTCTTTTTTTATGTTCCTCCAAGGTGAATTTAAGAAGAAGCGACCGCCTTTCAAAGTTCAGGTATTTGGTGTGTTTGTAGTACAAACATAAGAAGGACACCTTCATTACACTTACAAACCTGTTTGACTTTAGATTAACAGGGGGGAAAAACTGTTTTATGCCACTGATCTGTGGTATGTAGCAGCAAGATAAGAAATATATACGGGCGGTGCTCTTATCACAGCGTGCAGAACACAAATGTCTGTATTCCACAAAATTAAAATACAAGGAAAAGTACAGCAGAAAGTACATTGGGTTTGGAAATCCTATTCCTGCTTAAAGATAAATATGCTTGTGATTTTAACTTACCTGTTTTATCCTGGATATTGGCTCTTAAAATGTCCCCACTAGACATGTGTTGCAGTCCAAAACTTTTGATAATGCGCGCAGACATCGTTCCCTTCCCCGATCCAGGAGGTCCCATGATGACAGCACGGATCACTCTCTGCAGAACCATAGTTCCCAACAAAACTGCAGCAGGATTCTGAGGAAAAACTCCCGTGTGGACTGCTCCAACCAGTAGTTTCTTACAAACTACGCAACAATGGGGCGAGTCTTAAAGCAGACAGTGTCAACCCTCTCTCTTTTCCTTGAGCTCCGCTTAAGCTAAGAGGAAGAGGAGGAGGAAGGGAAAGAGGAGGAGAAAGAAGACGAGAGCCAGCTCAGCCTGCAGAGGCAGATGGAGATCTGCTCAGAAGGACGACGCGCATCGTGCAGGAAGTCCCACTCAGCGTGTGCAGAAACTGTCCGTGTCACTGCATTTGCTTTAATGGCGATCCATTTATTGTATAATGCGGTTATATAATTGGTCTGCCCGGTAAAAGCTCTTTTTGGGAAGGAAACGTTGACTAATCCCTTCAAATCCTCGATGCCTTTGATCGGACAGAACTGCAGCTTTGGAAGGAGGTTGCACTAAAAAGTCCACTTGTTAAATCCCATTCATAAGAATTATTGTTGAATAAAATATAAAAGTGCTGCTTAAGCTTTTGTTTTGTATTGAACGCCTTAAAAATATTGTTCTAGCCACGCCCATTCAAATTTAATGAATGGTTAATCGAGACAGCCTAGTAACTCGGTGGCGGGTGCGCTCCTTCACAGTCATCCGGGGGATGGCCCGGGCAGAAGTAATGATGAAGTGGAGTGAGAAGGGTCTTCTTCTTAAAGGGATAGTTCATCGTTGTTAAAATTAGGTCCTAGTAAAAGGTTAACATGTTCGAAATATGCAACTGTGTAACTCTACTTTCATCACATCAAGCCGAAGCTTTCCCCCACTAGTGACAGGAGCTAAAAAAAAAAAGAAAAAAAAAAAAAGAAAAATTAACTTTTTTTAAAAACTACTCCAAACCTCAAAAATATCACAGCAGTTGATGCGAGAAAGGTCAGATTTTAAATGATATGGACCCATAGGCTGCAGCAAGTTTTGGTGAAATATCCACAAAGGACAAAAAAAGTTATCAATGCAATTTACCGTATATAGTCCTACAAATTGGTGTTTAATAATTGATGAATGGTAAATTATGTCCCTGGCCAGTAGCTCTATGTTGTCCCCAAATTATTTTACAAAAACTTTATAATTTTCTAATTGTTAAGTCGTATTTATATTAATAAAAATAAAAATAAATAATACAACTCATCTGATGAGTCTATGAGTTTTATAAAGTGCAACGTTAACAAATCACACATTTCGTATAAAAAATCCCTTTAAGCCATTTTTAAGGTGTGGCCCATGATGCAAGCACTATTTTTGTTTTACCTTTGTTTATATACAGAGGTCAATTGTGGAGGTGCATCACCAATGATACACATGCAGAGATCAGAATGTCATTCATTTCTGGTCAGATCTATTATGAAAGTAATGTTCTGTACAAAGCAAAGGAAATGTGTGTAGTTTGATTAAAAACAATTTCTTGAATTTTTTTGTGCTTTTTTTTTTTTTTACTTTACTGTGTGTAGTTACCCTGACCTCAAATCCTCTCAAGACAGTTTAAATGTTCATAAAATAGTGTTTGCAGAAAGTACTTTTGAAAATTTGTTGTTTAAGATGGTAGAAATCTGCACCCACTTAAGATAACTTTTTTTTTTTTTTTTAACAGGAAACCGAAGTTGTATTGCGAATCGTCAGTGGGGTTGAGTGCAATTTCACAGTTCTTTTGGTCAAGAACTAAATCGATGCTCTTCTCTTTCAACATCTATATCACATTGATTTGTTAAACATTAACTATTCTATTTATTTACTCTGTAGTAAATAAATAAGTTTACTCTGTAGTAAATAAATAAAATAGACAATTTAATCATCGGTTATGAAACCTTTAAAAACATTTAAATTAATTTAAATAAAAAACATAAATAAACAAAAATCAATTCTGGCGTTGTACTGGCAATTCAAAATTATATTGGTACCAACAATATAACAAAAATTCTTTCTTCAGAATAAAGACACACGATTTTTTAAATATATATTTTACAGTTAATCTGTATCTTTTCAGAATTTTCCTGTTCAACCCAAACCCAAATTAAACTTTCTTAAATAACAAGCTGAGAAAAAAAAATACAAACTGACACTGAATAATTAGTTTTTTTTTAAATAGCCCTTTACCAATCCATGAACCATAAGCTAACTTCAGCACCGTGTTGTTGTACTGCGTTTTACCCTCCTGTCTTGCCGTACTCCCCCCTCTTTCTAACGTCTCCCTTGCACAAACACACGTGGATTTTTACCTACGCCAGTAACCATCAACAATAACATGGCAAGCCACGGACTGACCTACGACGGATGCAATTTCTTCAGACAGCGACTGGTTCTGTCGACTCTCAGCGGGAAGAATGTTAAAATAAAAAATATCCGCTCCAGAGACGACGAGCCGGGGCTTCGCGGTGAGTTACAGCCCTGCTGTTAGCTCGCAGGCTAACGGGCTAGCTGCTACGCAGTTGGGAGTGTGTGTTTATAACAGGCAGTCAGAGATGGGAAATGATGGGATTCTTAAGTGAATTACATAAAACTGTGATCAATATTATTACAACCTTTCAAACATATTTTTCGTCACATTTTTAACGTTATTGTATATAAATATTAGTAAAATTTTACATTGCTTAAATAAAAATAGCATTACATTAAGAAATCACTAATTTGTTAGAAGAAAAAAAAACTTTTTACGTGGGTTACTCTGTTAAACATAACTTTGTCATATTAACCCCCTAATTGGTCGTTTACTTTGCTCTTGTAGTGCAATTTTCTGTTTATTTGTTCTAGATTTTGAAGCCAGTTTCATCAGACTTCTCGACAAAGTGACCAATGGCTCCAGAATCGAGATTAATCAAACGGGTAAGTATTAAAATACATGCTGGTACTGATACTTATTACATCTGAGACCCAACAAGAACCAGACTCTCATAAATGGAGAGCACCAGACAAAAAAAAAAAAAATCAACTTTGTTCTGTTTTTTGTAGTCACATATCTTTATTTGTCAAACTTTTGTTTTTACTCTGTTCTTACTGTTAACAAATAAAGAAATTCATAAGAGAATACTATTTTATTTATGTTTTTCTGCACAGTTTTTTTCTTGTTAAATGAATTACGAATATAATGTAAAAGCTCTCCTTTGCTTATACTTCTTGTCTTCTGCAAAGTTTAAGTTTTTGCTAACTGGTTGCCAATACATTCAGTGATGTTTTTTTTGCTTTCTCCACCAGGTACTGTGTTATTCTACCAGCCTGGCCTGCTGTATGGAGGCCCTGTGGAACATGACTGTAACCCCCAGCGTTCAGTAGGATACTACCTGGAGGCTTTGCTCATGCTGGCGCCTTTCATGAAAACTCCTCTTAAGGCAACGCTTAAGGGCGTCACAAATGATCCTACTGACCCAACGGTATGCTTAAACATGGATGAAGGTTTTTGTACGCCTTTTTAATCATATTATTAGAGTTCCTGTGCAGTATGAAAAATTAAAGTAACATGGTAGGAGTTTGGTTTCTTTGTTTTTCTGGTCTGGAAAAAGCAGAGATTAACAATTGAAAATATTGGAATTTCCCCATTTTATTCCTTGTACCATGATGTTTAAATGTGCGTCTTTCATCTTTATGCCTTGTGCTTGTAGACATGTCAGCTTCTTGAAGATAAAGGAGTCCTATACTGCATCATCTTATCGATGTTATGATCTATGTTTTTATTTTAATTATGTAAAGCACTTTGAAATGCCTTGCTGCTGAAATGTGCTATACAAATAAAATTTGATTGATTGATTGATTTATCTAATTGCTCTGTATATTGCAGGTCGACTTGTTGAAGTCCACAGCTCTCCCTCTGATGAAGAAGTTTGGAATCGATGGAGAGGCCTTTGAAATAAAGGTAAGGACTTTAGATAATGCAGTAGCAGGAACAGGATGGCATCTTTCGGAGGAAATGCGTTTGGATGTGAAGCAGAAACCTGTGCTCAAGCTTTTTCTCACTCTCTGCCTGCTGCTACTCCCTCAGGTGGTGAAGAGGGGTATGGCGCCTGGCGGAGGAGGGGAAGTAGTTTTTACATGTCCTGTCCGCAAAACCATCAAGCCAGTCCAGCTGACCGAGCCGGGAAAGATCAAGAGAATCAGAGGAGTGGCGTATCCTTCTCAAGCTTATTTTACTTATCTATCTTTTATTATTTATGGATAAAACATGTTTCACACTACAAATGAAATACATTTGCAAAAGTTACATACATATGTGAGTAGTTGCCAGGAAAAATATTATTCAAGTGGTAAATTAGTTATATGGCTTATTTTTTGTAGCTAAACACAATGGTCATGATGCACAAGAGTGTTTTTCACTGCTACATTAACGTAAAACTACGTTTATTGAGATAACAGAAATTATTTGTCTCGTTTTTCGTCTTTTTAATTATGATTAAAATGTCAGTTTTGGATTTGAACAATTAAAGCATAAACTTACTAAACTTCTCCTCAGAGCCCTTTGACCTTCTACACTCAGATATTCGGTCCGAGTTTCTCCTCAGATGGGAAACCGGATTGTGGAGTCGGCAAGGAGCGTCCTAAACCAGTTCCTCCCTGACATTTACATTTACACAGACCACATGAAAGGAACCAACTCTGGCAAGTAAGTCTCGGTCAGTGCAGCTTACCAAAATGCAATTTCTCCTTCTCTCAACCTTCTGTTTTGGAGAGGATGTAATTTGTTTTCACAACTGCAGGTCTCCAGGATTTGGTCTGACGTTGGTGGCAGAAACGCTGAACGGCTGCTTTCTCAGTGCGGAGATGTCATCCACGCCACAGGGACAAGGAGAGCCTGTCCTGCCTGAAGACCTTGGGAGAAATTGTGCCAAATTGCTCTTGGAAGAGGTGTACCGGGTATGATTTTGTTGCATACTCTCGTATTTTCATATTGAACATGAGCCCTCAGTTATTTTAAAGTGGTTTGTCTTTAAGAAGGAAAAAGGTAAGTCCCCCTCCCCCAACCCCAAAATTAAACAATTTTCAAAGTAAACACATTCCTTAATCTAAAAACTATAGAACTGCATGGTAGACATTCAACAGTTTGGATAATAACTTCAACCAAATTTATTAGTATTTAGTTTTAGAAAGTTTTCCAAAATAAAAACTCTTCACATAGGAAGTTCAAGTTCACAGTACATGTTGCCCGTGCTACATAGTGTACAATAGTATTATGATTGTGCTGAATCACCAACAGTCATGTTCTGGTTCATCGTCTCGGCGCACACAGTTGCCAAAAAACCTTCAGTGAACAAGCATCTCATTCCGTTGAGCATCTTTGCTCCTAGGGTTGTTTCCTGATTTGACTCAAAACAGGTTTTCTTTGTGCTTCTTTCTATTTGTATATAGACAAAACCTACAGGAAGAGCAGCTCTCTAATATAACTGAGGTATATTATGAAAGTAGAAAAGCCCTGTTCTCATAACATCTGACTATAATTAAAATGCTAAAATTTTGTGAAACATCGGTCGATGCCTTTACAATTTGAAATTCTTACTATTGCTTTTCTGTCCTGGAATACTGAAGCTGAAAACTCTGCTTGCTAACAGAGAGTTAGCAATCTCACAAATATAACAAATAAATAATTAACAATATGAATAAACATAATATAAACTAAACAATTATAAAATAATTTGCCTCCTTTCTTACTTTGACAACTGAAATACAAATTTCATTGGGAATACCAGACATACATGAGCTGAACACATTAAACTCTCTTCGTGCAACATTTGCTGCCTTTGTTTGCCCACATTCTCTGGTAATGACTTGTCTGCAGATCAGCTGAGAAACTGTTTTGCAGCATCTGTGCCTCTTTTCCTAAACTTTATTATGATGGTAGCTCACAAAATGTTCTTGTATGTAGAGGAAGATTAAGTCTTGATTGAGTAACATCCATTGGCTGAACATAAGGTTTCCCAGCAGAACATTCTCCAAAGCTTTGCACTTTCTACACAACGCTGCCTTCTTCCTGCAGTGTGTCTTGGTTTGATGTGAGGGGTGATGTCTGAATAGACTCTCTGCAATGTCCTGTGTATTTTGATGCCTTTCTCTTTAACGCAGCTTCAGCAATTTAATCAATTTGAGCTATCTGTTGGATTGTCAACCTCTTTCTCCTCAAATGCAACAATGAGCCTTGGGCATAATGTTTTGCCTGATAGAATGGGCAGTAAGATTGGAGGACATTTACTTGCACAATATCAGAATTTCTCCCCGCCCCCGTTTCAACACAATAACATATTTCTGAACTATTACTGATTTACTGTATTTTCCTGACATTTTTTTGCTTATACAAATAAGTTAAAATATCACTCCAGTTCATCTGTCCATGTTCGCTCCAGCTCATGTTGAGCTTTTCTTGTGGCTGCAGTTGGAAAGGTTTAATCCTTGGTCCGTGCCCGTCAGTATTAATCACCATTTAAGTTAACACATCAGTCAGAAATTGAGATATGAAGAGGAAAGAAAATACATCGTGGGACCAGCCAGAATTTGAGAAAAAAAAAAAACTGCAACTGGTCTGGAAAATGTAATATATGTTATGAATGCATTCATTTTAAATGGATTAATTAATTTATAGGAGGCCTGCCTGTGAGCTTGATGAGAGAAGCTGAAGTTTGCTCAAAGATGCTTGAAAACCCAGGAATTCTCAACTCGAGATAAAAGAAAGAAATGTGAGGTGGAATGTCTTTCCACCTGCGTGTTTGTACTGCGCTGACCACTGATGGAGATAACTTGCTTGTTAACCGTATACACGCACACAGATCACCTCGCTTGGCGACGGGTAAAACAGGCAGCTTCCACCGAGCGTTTACAATGAGATTCTGTGTCTTCGGCGTTCCTCCAACACGGCTGCAAGACTTGGGCCTCTCTCATCGGAGCCATGTGAGTCCAGTTAGCTGGTCAGGGTAGCGCTGATTAACTCTGAAAGAGGAATATTGTTGAGGTCTCCTCTTAACTCCAAGCGACAGAATGCAGAGCAAACCAGTTTCTCTTTGCTGCCTTCTGGAGCGGTAAGTTTAGAAATGTTTCCCGTTTTGAAAAAGGCTAAAGCTGCTGGAAGAAATTTACATTTCACAGTTGAATGTTTTGTTTTGTATTATTCCCACAAGGTTAGCGAGGAAAATGAGCAACAGAGAGGGTGTCGGTAAAGTTGGTCAAATTCTTATTAGAAAAGTTTGTTTTGAAATTTGAGGAACATTTTCAGGTTTGTATTTAGGGGCATGCATGGGCGTCCTGCATGTTTCTGTTTGTTTTATGGTTAATGAGTACAGTCAGCTACTAGTGGACTGTCCAAACACTGTGGACAACTTGTTTTCTAAGGCAACGTCAACATTCAACAGGAGCTGATGTAAGTGTTGCACTCTATTAGATCTCGACTCGTAGTGTGAGGAATCTTATTGTTTTAGATCTGCTTCTTTATTACTCTGCATAGTCTTTGTGTGCTTAACATTTATGTTTTATTTGAACATAAAGCCAGCAAATTGTGAAGTTCGCATTAGCAAACAAGCTTTCGGTTTTAACCTATTGCAGTCATTTCTGCTCACCAATCAAATATTAACACCAGATTTACACGTTTGATTTATGCCTCTGCATATTTGGATGTCAGCCATATTGTTTTGGTCTCTGCATTTAAATGTTAGGGTTTTTATTTCCTGTGTCTGTTGAGGAAATGGGTCACATGTCGCTCTGAGGATTTAAGGGACTTTTCCATAAATCACTTTCTGGAGGCTGTTGGGCTCCTGGGACATTTGACCACATCCGAAAGGCAGGCGGGGTGTGAAAGTGGCAGTTATCCATTCAAGTGTTGCATCTTGTTTCTTAGTTTGCTCAGCAGTTAGATGCAGATGCACAGCCTTCCCAGGAATTATGTATTTTGTTCCAGGTGAAAAGGGTAAGCTTTTTAGCCACTATCACTTTTTTAAGCTCACAGTTAATCTTTAGCAAAAGGCTAAACATTTATTTTTTTTGCAGTTTTGCAGTTAAACCCATCTTTCTGTCAAAATGATGGAAGCCGTGGTGCATGGGTTTCAAGTTTGCTGATGAATTCAGTTAAAACTTTGGCCTTGACGACAATGTTAAACTGTGTAGTCATCCTTCCACAATGTTTTCAGTGTTGCGATTACATAATCAAATCATAACTCTGCTGACAAGCTGTCACGATGCCACAGGGACTGGATGACTGGGCCAAAAACGCTCCTCCAAAAAACGGATGCACACAGCACCAAACATTTGGAGTTATGCTAAAAGCTGCATGGCAGCAGGACGAACTCAGTTTAGAAAATCCACCAGGGTGTGTCCAGCTGTGTATGACCCTCTGCTTGTGGATTGAAAATTCAAAACTTTGGCACAGCTCTTGGTGACTCACTGTGGCATGTATTGACTTGAATGCACAGAGTGGATCGTCTGTCTGATAAATGTCTCATGTGCTCAAGATGTGGAGCAAAGGGGAAAATTACACATCTAACAGTAACAGGACACAGCCTTAAAAGTGTATTGTTAGAAAATGAGTTGCTAAAGATTTTTTTACTCCTTTACAGGATCCATTTCTTTCTAAATATCTCCACCTCTATGATGTACTTTGCTGTTTTTCAGTGTTAAAAAAATAGCTTTTTTTTTTTTTTTTTCTTTTTTTGTTCCCTGTAGGGCGGCTGCGTGGATTCATCCAATCAGAGCCTGGCGCTGCTCTTGATGACCCTTGGCCAACAGGATGTGTCAAAGGTTCTGCTCGGACCCCTCTCGCCATACACGTAAGCAGCTGTCATCCAGTACTTTAAAACTTGTGTACATGAAAAGCCTCAATTTCCCGACCCTTTTTACCGTGACGATAGAACCTCTGTTCTGCCGGTAGTTACTTTTCTACTTGATCTGGTTTGGTAGCTAAACTCTAAAAATAAAAAATTCACACTTTTCACTGCAGTTATTGCTGTAGGTCCTTTGGGGTACGTCTCTACCAGCTTTACAGATCTAGAAACTCAAAGTTGATTCATTGTACTTTGCAGATTCAAGGGACTGTTTCTGAAAATCAGTTTTGAAGTCTTGCCACAGATTCTCAGTTGGATTTAGGACTGAACTTTGACTGGGCCACTCTGACATAAAAACATCCACGTATTTACCATTTCGTCATAGCTCTGGCTCTTAATTTTAGTGTTGTTGTCCTGCTGGAAAGTAAAAACTCCGCCCTTTAATTCTGCTGCAGATTCTAACAGTTTTCTTGGCGAACTTCTCTGTATCAACACTGATCAGATGTCGCCATCTACAAATGTTTCTGTAAGAATAGTATGTTAAGCGTGATGAGCAGTGTTACAGAGCCTCTTGCATGAATTATCTGTGAACTAAGAAATTTGCAGTTGTGCCGTAGACTTTCCATTTTTTTAGATGGACAAATAAGTTCTTTAGGATATTGTTTTGTAGCCTAATGTTTCCACTACTTCATCCTTGAATGGTTGTTTGTTCACTAATGTTTTACAACAAAGCTTTGAGGTCTTCGTAGAAGTGAGATTTCATAACAAACAGGAGGATAATTTAAAGGTTCTGCGGCTGGATTTTATTCAAGGGCGCCAGAGTAGAGGCAAATACAAACTATATTTTTCAAGTTTTACTACAAATAAGCTTGTGAAGCACTGCAATGTTGGTGTGTCACATAAATTTGTAGTAAAAATATATTATAGTTTGTGGTCATAATGTGACAAGATGGGGAAAGTGTCCAAGGGGTATTAATACTTTTCCAACGTCTTTTTAATCTTTGTAACAAATGACTGACTTAATATTTAAAGAGTGATCTGTGAAGTCTTATGTTTAAAAATTAAGTTTAAATTCATATATAACACGGTAACAATTGATTTAAATTAAATGAGAGGATGAACTAAAGCAGAGTTCAAACTGAATTCCTCTTCCAGTCTTCATAAGGAGCGAACTATGAACTGTCCATTTTCAGCTATCATGGTACCGGTGCTGTGTTCCTCTCAAGTACAGTACTATGATAACTGAAGATTGGCAGTGCCATCACAAAACACTCAACATTTTACTCAGGTAAGGTTGAAAACTGATTGTAAAGGTATAATTTTTTTTATTTTTCTGAGAATACTTTTGTTTGTTTCAGTGTTTAGCTGTAAAAAGTTGGATTTAATACACAAGAAATAATGATGCAATTGTTTGGGGCAGAGTTGAAAAACAAAACTGAACTGTCCTCCGTTTCTCTCCAGGATCGAGTTCCTGAGGCACATCAGAGATTTCTTCCAAATTATGTTCAAGATCGAAGTCCAGACGCCTTTAGACGATGAGCGGAAAGGTGGAGATAAAGTTCTGATGACCTGTGTCGGGGTCGGCTATAGTAATATAAACAAAACTGTTAAATAAAATATTTTTTTATGCATACATTTTATATATATATATGTTAACTTGTGCATTTGTTTCATTTTATTTTTTTCAAGCACTACTTGATTATTTCCATTCATTTGGGTTACGATCAGTCAAACTGATCAGTTATTAGGTCTTCAGGTGGTTATTGATCATCCCTGCTCCTCCATGTTGTATTTGAGGACATGAGAGAAGTCAGCCATCTTGGCCACACAGCTTCTTGAGAGTTTCTCCATAACTACCGGACACTTCAGACTGAAAAAAAAAAAACATAAAATGAGGACTGAATTTAGCCATAATTTGAAATAAAATAATTTAATAAAATAGATTTAAGCTGTAGCGTTCCTAAGAGGGATCCATCCGGTGTACAGACCTCTAACCGGCAGTTGAGGGTATATCCAAACAGCTTCTTGTATTCTTCTTTAATGTCCATTAAATCGATCTCAGAGCGACTGACCAGGATCCTCGTCAGTGTGGACTCTGTGGTTCCTGCTCCCTGAACAGAGCATGAAATTAAACAGTTTTTTTTTTTGAGAAATCTGATTAAAATGATTTGGTCTCATCTGCTGTTTAGTGACAGCTTTGCTTTACATGTGCAGTTTCACTATTCTTTTGTTGTCTGCTTTAGAAACCAGTCACTCTGCTGATGCTGAAGCAGCAACAGTAAAACATGGCTTAACATTCCTTTCCACACCACCAACCAACGAGAGAGCAGGCTGATACGGCACAAAAGCAAAAATAATCAAAACGTATCAGGTAGCCATTTGATTCTAGATTAAGCACTGATTTTACCTTCATGGCCTTGAAAAGCCTCTCGGCGAAGTATGCAGGGGCATTCTTGACACACTTCACTAGTTAGAAAATAGGTCGAGGTTAATATTAAAGAGTTTGCAGGAGGTGAAGACGGCTCACATTTCAGCTGTAAAATCTGTTTCTCACCAACAGCAACCAGGAGTTCCTCCAGATCTCCAGACATTTCGCTCTCGATGCTTTCCTGCAGAGTCTTCTTGCTAATATTCTTGTACTCAATCAGAGCTGTCAGAACAAAACAGACTTGTTTTTTGTGGTTCTCTTTTTATGGCAGTAATTGGTTTTGCAAATGTTTGCATCTATTGAGAAGGAAAACCCACTTTGTCGAAGCTGAGGAACACTCCTGTGGCATAAGATGTCGATAAACTTGTCCTCATCAGTTCCCCACTTCTTTTCTCCCGCCTCATACAGAGCCTGTCGGAAACAAATATGGCCATTTAATGTCGAGGCGCCACATGTTTTTGTGGTTGCATCGTCGGTGAATTACAAGAGTAGAAGCTGCTTAACAAGGAAATAACTTGGTCAAATTTGTTCAAACTGAAAATGGTACCTTAGCCTCTGCTTTAGCTTTAGCTGTGTCCACATTGGTGCTCTCGTCTCTCTTTCCCTGTAAAAGTGGACAGATGAGCATTACATTTTATTAAAGCAATAATGTTCAATAAAAAGAAATCAGAAAATGATTTAATACACTTAAAAATTAAACAGTTCAGATAAACATAAAGCTTGACAGGTTTTCTACTACATCTACAAATATAAATGGAAACATTTTCTCAGAATTTAACCTTCAGATTAAGACAGAAGTCAAATTTTCGACAGTTGTTTCAGATTATTTATACGCTTTCCAAGTATTCAGCATGTGAACCGTTTGGGTAAACGCAAATTCTTGGAATATCTTTGGAATGTTGATGACTTTCCGCCTGCTAGATGAATGTGCTGCTGTAGGGAGTGGTGCATTGTAGCATGCTTTCAGTTTAATGTGCACTACCTCAGCCAAGATGAGCAGCGCTTTGCAGTAATCCCCAGATACCTCCGACTTTAGGTCATGACTCATCAATCTTCCAGTTTCTGGAATTAAACAGCTCAGTCTGCTTAAGATTGTGAACTTTTTCACAATCATTTTGCACAATAAACAAAACTATTAACTGTTTTCAGGCTTTTGTTTTAGAAGTGACCTACCTTTGAGGTACACATCAGTCATGGCTTTAATTTGCCTGTTGGATCTGGAAGCAAAGATTTCTGTCAGAGTGCTCTCAGTGGTCCCTGAACCCTAGATGCAAAAACACAATGGTATTAAAATAAAGAGATTATAATAAAGTGCTGTTTTGAACAAACTGCACAAGAAAGCATCATTAATGTTTAATGTATTTACATGTTTGTTTTTTTTTGTTTTTTTTTTGGACTTGTAACTAAAAACCTGTTCTGGATACCGACTAGATAAAAAGGTTGAAAATCCACCCTCAAGTACCCGTTATTCTGCATATTAATAATAAGTCTCACCTTTATAGCTTTCATGACTTCATGACAGTCATAGGCAGCAGGAGGCGTTACCAAAGCAACCAACAAGTCCTCGAAGTCTCCGTGAGTGTCGCCCTCTAGGTCAGCCACTAATGTCTAATGCAAGGACACAAGAAACTTAACGTTGTGTTTATGTATAAAAAGCCAATGTTTTTGTACATTTTCGATGTTACAGCTGCAAACCTAAAGGCAATTCTTTAGGGTTTTATGTGATCAACCCACACAAAACAGTTGCATACTAAAGAAGTGGAAAAACTTTTTCTTTTTTACAAATTAAAACATGTCTATGCTTCAGAATAGCCTAGTCAACGTCCAGAAGAACAATGTGGAATCTGTGACAAAAGGCAATATTTTCCATCAAATCTGACTGAGCTTGAGCTATTCTCCAGAGAAAAAGAGGCAAAACTTTGCATGTGCAAAACAGCTAGAGACACAAACTGAAATGCATCTGTAAGGTGATTTTAAAATCTGATGCAGAATACAAAAGACATGCCGTACTTTTCAGATTATTCAGAAAACAAAACAGGTGCAAACCATTTTCTGTTCACTTCACAATTATGTGCTAATTTGTGATTTTCCCATAAAAAAACCAACTAAATAAATAAATAAGGGGTATAAATGCTTTTTCAAGGCTCTGTAAATTTTATATTAATTTACCCTTCCAGTGGCTTTCTGATAAGCCGTGCCGATAAGCTGACGCTGGGCATTGCTTCTTTGGGTCAGAACATCAATCAAGGTCTTTTCTGTTGTACCTGTGATGATAAAAAAAACACCTAAATATCTCACTTTTTCATACATGAACAGCATTTTTTCCATCTTTCTTTTAGGTCTAATTTGGATGGATCATGTGTCTAATTTTTTGAATGATTACAGGGGCACTTAAAATATTTTATTGATATATAGAGGCTATAATATTCAGAAAATAAGCTGATCATTTATTAACTCACCAAGACCTTCTATTGCTTTTCTCAGGGCAGCGACGTCATCTTCCGGCTTAAAATTAGCCTTATCCTTCACAGTTCCTCTGGCATTAGACTGGAAAACACCAAATTACAAGCAATTATACACAATACAAAATTCCGTTGATAATAAAGTAAAAAGTTGTCTGTTTAGGTAAAAAGAGAGAGACAACTTCCAAACAAATGTAAAAAAAGGTGCATAGGTGATTATTCATACAAAACAGCATGTGAACGTTACAGATTTATCCCTTATATTTCCTTGCAGATTACATAATTACAACATATCATTTTCTCCATAAATACAATCTGCAGGATTAAATAAATAAATAAGCTGGTTTAACTTACAGTTACAGTCAATGAGGAGGGAGAGTCTAAAAGCAGCTCCAGATCTTCCTGCACCACACATTAGCAAATATTGATTTTTTTTTTCTACCTCACACCGAAAACATGTCAAATTAAACTAATACAGGCATTGCTGGAAAAACTCACCCAAGCAGACATTGTTTTTCTGGTTGTAGCTTAAAAATATTAAATCTAAAAAGAAGAGCAGACATATATCAGCACCAACATTTCCTCACCCTTTCTTCTGCTACGTTTTTAACTTCTTCATACTCTCGTTTCCCTTGTTTTCTTTATGTACTATATGTAATCCATTATGCGTTATCATTGCTCCAATTTATCTTTCATGGATTAAGCTTTCGCGTGTCCACGCAGAAAATAAAGTCTGGAATGTCGATGGCTCCATATTAGGAAACAAGCTCTTTTTCGGAGCAGCAAAGCGTAACGAAACAAAGCATGGAACACAAGGAAACAAATAAGAACATTCCACCAAGTTACAAAAAAAATAAATAAAAAAATCAAAGACTTGCATGGTTTTTCTTACCTGATGTAAAATATAAGCTAATAGAAAGAGGAATTTTACCGAGAAAAGAGGCCACCACACCTTTTTGAGAAGTTGTGAAAGGGGAACGCTCGTTATTGGCTAAATCATGAAACCCCTCCTCCGTTGTGCAAATCAACTAAACCGCATTTTCTCTCTCCGTGGCCTCTTTCTGCAACATGTTTATACTATTTATTTCTTTAGAAAGGTCACTTCGGTCAAATTAACAATTACCCATTTGTGAGGCTACTTAGTGTGGTTTGTCATTATCAATCAAGTCAACCAAGTTTTTTTGTGTAGCACATTTCAGCAGCAAGACGGTTCAAAGTGTTTTATGTAATAATAATAATAATAATAAAGAAAATTAGAAAGTTCTAAAGAAAACAGCATGCATTCAACGATTAAACTAAGTTTTCTCAAGCGAAGCAGGGTTTGGTTCGGTGTTCAAATTTCCACGTCACATCAGTGTCAAAATCCCACAGATCAGACCAAATGAAATTATTTTATATTGTTTCTTCATTTCCTTCCTCTGACGCACATCCTTGGACCTGCCTTAAAGACAAATAGTCGTTGGAACCAATTTTAGAGCTGGGTAATTTCACCATATGCTTTTGAAACCGAGATGCTTGTTACAAATTGCAATTACCAAGATGTTCGTTATTCTCATGTTGTAGGGAACTCAAACAAACACACCCAAAATGTGTGCAAAGATGGGTAAAGCTTTATGGGGACACTTGATCAACAGCGACATCTTATGGCAAACTATTGACACAGCCGACTGGACAGTAAAATAAGCAAAGGAACGTGACCATCATGTTCATTGGACACAAAAGCTGACTTTTTTCAATACAATTTATTGGTGTATTATCATTACCACAGCAGATGTACAGCGCTTGTAAAACGTCAGCTGTCATGTGACGAATAACGGGAGCATCCCTGGCCATGTCAGCCTCTGAATCACCCGAGAAGGAGTGACGACGAGGCGGCGTGGGAGGAGATTACGTCTGACTAAGGGCAAAGATTTTTGGGGGCGGCGGAACGAGGTCGGTGACATGTCAGGGAGATTTAAATTCTCAACCTATTATGTCGTCAACCACTGTTAGAGTAAACTTGTACAAATAAACATAAAACACTGAAAGTCACACCTAGAATTTGGAATTTATCATTGACTTTTCATCATTACGGCAACCGTTCCATTATTATTTTTTTTTCTGGGCCCAAAAATGCTGTTTATGTTGGTCACATAGTTGAACAGTGCTTTCATCACTGTTAGCCAGTGTTCATCCGGGGAAATTGCCGGATTATAAATGATGCGAACCCACTTGCTGTACTTGTAGGCGTGTGTAGTGTTAAGATATTCCCTAAATAAAGTCTGACAGGGAATTTTTGCTTTTTTTCTTAATGAAGACTATATTTTTATGGAAATCTTGTAACGTATATTTCGCCTTATTAATATAATAAAAATAAAAAAGTACAATATTTTGAATGATAATGGACGTAAAGAAGGGGGAAACAGTCAAAGCGACGGACTCGCCTCACTCTTACGTGGCACTCTCGTTACCTGAAAGACTAATTCAGGGCTAAAATGTTCACTTCCACAGCCCGGTAGGCTGTTGTTTGACAGATCCAAAAGACTTCTTAGCTTCGCTTTCCTGACTATCGACTTGCTTCGGATTAGTTTTACTCGATAAAACGTAGTTAAACCTGTTTTAGGATGAAATCTGGTCCCAATATAAGTTTCATTGTTTTATTAAGAAGCTTGTTTGCTAACTAACTGCCATTGCTAACGACATCAGGCTAGCAACGGGGAGCCTCCCAACAGCTGGTAGAGCCACATCTTCACCTTCTCCTTTCAGTTTTGTAGTTTATAAATAGTATTCCTGTATTTCTACGTCTGGATAGAGGTGTGTTTCCTTTACATAGGCAGCTATTTTTACTTGTTTTTTTTTATTTTTTCAATAGGGGTCTACGAGTCATTTATAGCTTTCTCTCTCCTTTGTTTACATGGAGACACTTCGTCAGAGAGGCTTTGTTTCCATGAAGTGGTCCTATTAAGACTGGACAAACAACAGGGCAACAAAGCTGGGAAAATGGAAATTAGGAGGTAGCTAAAATTGTGCTGTTTCTCTACCAAAACAAGAGGATGAACTGGGGTCTGTCAGGGGACAGCTGTGCCAGGTGGACTGTTTGACTTGCGTGGGTGTTGAATAGAGAGGAGTCTGTTTGTTCCCATTAAAGTTGAACGTTATGTTAGAACACATGAGGAGACTTGATGCTAAATCTCTGAGGAAACCGGGTCTCTGTTTTGGAACCGATATGTTGCTGAAGACGCTTCTGATCGCCAGTCTTCTTGGCTGGGTGAATTGTTTGGAGAATCAGAGCATGACACCAGAAGAGAAGACCAACATCAGGTGAACCCTTGAGTAAACACAGTGCTTCTCTATGTAAGAAACAGAAATTACCCGGGGTAAGCGTTTTGCTTAATGTTTTCTCGTTATTTATTTACAGAAACCAAATTCTGGAGATGTTTGACCATGCCTACGGAAGTTACATGGTAAGGACAATTCAAGTTTTGTAATTGGCAACATTTTTTTGTCTATTTTTTTCATTCAAAGTTGCCTGAGTGACAGTTTTATTAGTTGAGTGTTTTGAGGAAACTTAAAGTTTATACCACGAACAAAACAGCAGATATAAATTCAATAGTTTCTCTAAGTATTTCAACACTCAGCTCTGTGATAACCGGATTACAAGCATATTCCATTTCCACAAAATCTTACATTCTAATAAAGCATAAAACCAAACCAGGACATGTTTTACTCATTTTAATGTCATTAATATGCAGTATAATTGGAATTAGAAATTGTAAACTCATATAAAAGCCTTTGGGAGAAAAGTTTAATGGTCAAAGAGCAGCTCATTGGCACATAAAACACTGACTTTTTATATAGAAGAAAAGCAAGATGTGTTCTGTGCTGTATTGTTTAGATTATTGTAGAAAGGGAATCTATTGTAATGGTGAATTAAGTTGCTTCTCCGTCTTGTAAAAATAATGAAATAAGATATCAGCAAAAAGGCAATCAGTGGCAGTTTTTGATTAATCCATATTTACAAGATCCCACTGAAGCATTAGAAAAGGACTCTGGATGTTTACAGATAAAAACAATAACCTTGAACACATTTTCTGCTGTTTTTATTCATATGTAATCAATGGAGAGTTGATGTCCCAACTTGCTTCTGAGAATATTGGCTCAAACATGAAGTAGTACATGAAGATGTAAAATGACAAAAATCCTCTCTTTTGGAGGCGTTTTCATCATGTATTATTATTATTATTATTATTTATTTTTTTTGGAAATGAAGAAAAGCTATACCAATAGTATGGAGATGGTCAAATGAGTTAAATAGCATGAATTAAATGATTACAAAGTGATGAGCCTAATTATAGCTGTTACTGTTGCAGAAATATGCCTATCCAGCAGATGAGCTAATGCCGCTAAGCTGCAAGGGGAGAGTGCGCGGAGAAGAGCCTAACAGAGGAGACATCGACGACTCCTTGGGGAAGTAAGAACACCTTACTTTGTCCTCTGATACCTTGAAACATCAAATAATGTTTCACAGCTCCCTGAATCAAACAATCAGGTGGAAATTAGTTTAAATAATTTATTTACAGTCTGTACGACCTGTCTGGTAGATTTAGCATTCCTTTTCTGAATCACACGACTGTTTTCTTTTTTTTTTTTCCCCAAAATCCTTATAAATTTTACCGTTTTGACTAATGCCAATGGGAAAGTAATCTAATGAAGATATAAATTGTATAGCAAATGTGTTGGGAATATAAATGAAACACAAAGAACGTACAGCTTAGGTGATGATATTCCTGCAAACTTGAGTTGAAAGAGCTCACAGGGTCAAAGTAGACATTTATTGCTCTGTTGTTGCAAATACCAGATCATGCATGACGTAACAAAAACTTGTGTGAATGAAATCAACATTTAAACGAATAAATCATAGACGTATTATAATTTAAATCAGAGTATGTGTAAAACAGAATGAGTCTAATGTTGTTTTATGTAAATTCAAACGGGATGTAGAATTCTAAAAAGTAAATGTGCAACAAAGTGTGACATGACCTCCTCTCACCGTCTCGTAACATTTCTGCCACCTGCTCTGTAGGTTTTCTCTCACTCTGATCGACACCCTAGATACCTTAGTGGTATGTACTTCCTGTTCATCTGTTCACCAGCACAAGAACGTATTTATTGCGCCTTCTTCCCTTTTTTGGAAATTGTCGTTTTTTTTCTCTTGGTTGCAACGTGCACAGGTGCTGAACAAGCTGGACGAGTTTGACGACGCAGTGAAGAAGGCTGTGAGGGACGTGCGCCTGGACAACGACGTGGTGGTGTCCGTGTTTGAGACCAACATCAGGGTTTTGGGGTACAAAACATGCTCGCGGTGTTTGTGGTTTTGATGCCGAACGTGTCCTGTCGTGCTGTTTATCAGTTTGTAAACATGTGTCCAGGGGGCTTTTGGGGGGACACGTGATGGCTGACCTGCTCAGGCAGCGCGGGGAGAGGATGCAGTGGTATCGTGATGAGCTCCTTCACATGGCCGTCGAGCTGGGCCACAGACTGATTCCTGCCTTCAACACCTCCAGTGGCCTTCCCTACCCTAAGGTAATAGTCGTTATTTATTTCTCTAAAATATTCTGCCACAACCATTCTTAACACTGAATCTTCCAAACATCCATAAATACCTTTTCATATAAATATTTCATTTTTCTTTGTGTACATTTAGTTAAAAAAAAGCCTTACAAAACTAATGCTTTGACTCAGTATTGAAACTAGTTCACTGAACACAAACAAAACTGATTGAAAGTAAACATAAATAGCTTGTTTATCTGTGTTTTTCATCCAGTTGAGTGACTTTCTGTTTCTTCGTTTCCCAGGTGAATCTGCGGTACGGCATCTTGAACCCACTCTCGCGCACCGGCACCGAATCGGACACGTGCACAGCGTGTGCAGGGACCATGATCCTGGAGTTTGCCGCTCTCAGCAGGCTGTCGGGAGAGTCTGTGTTTGAGGTACTGCCAGCCTGTAATTACAGAGTTCTCTTAATGTTTGTTTTTTGTGCATTCGTGTGCTGTAAATGTGCAATTACTGAAGTGTGAGCTCAGTTCGCCTTAATCTGGAAAATTAAAGCCGGCTGCTTATTGATGTTTAACAGGAACATGCTAGGAAGGCCCTGGACGTCCTCTGGGAGAGGAGACAGAGAGGAAGTGACTTAGTCGGAACTGTGATCAATATCCATAATGGAGAATGGGTCAGGAAAGGTAACATCACTCTAGCGCAAGTACACATCTGCTAACGCCTAATAAATCCCAGAGTCCCTCTTGTTGTTGCGCAATCTTGATAAGAATCCCACATTGCTGTAAATGAACAGCCGTTTTGCTTCTGTTTGTGCAGATAGCGGTGTCGGCGCTGGAATCGACTCGTACTACGAATATCTGATGAAGGCCTACATTCTTCTGGGAGACGATACATTTTTGCAGAGGTTCAACATTGTGAGTATCCCTTCAACAAACGACTCATCCCATTTTGCCCCGTCATTGGTGCACATCTTGTCATTTGAAGCTCTAGTCAACTGTTATTTTATCCAGTTTTTATGATGTTTATTTTTCCCTGTAACAGCACTACAGTGCCATTATGAAGTACATCAGCCAGCCTCCTCTCCTGCTCAATGTGCACATGCACAATCCCACTGTGAGCGTTCGCAGCTGGATGGATTCGCTGCTCGCTTTCTTCCCTGGATTACAGGTCATTTATTTATTACATTTGCTCCAATCAGTAAATAGCAGATGACAGATAAAAGGTTGCTGAGTCAAAAAAAAGTATATATATATATATATATATTTTATTTTTTTTGCATAGGTTTTAACAGGAGATCTGAAACCAGCCATAGAGACTCATGAGATGCTATACCAAGTCACAAAGCAGCACAAGTTTCTCCCAGAGGTAAAGACTGTCTCATTCCTGTTCATCTGTTGTCATCATGCATTAGACAAATATTTGAAACACGCGAGAATAACGATGTAATAAAAGTGACAAAGTTAGTTTTTCTTCAGTAAGTGACGTTCGTTCTGTAGTTGCATTGTTTTGGTGTTGAATCTGGTCACGAGTGTCCACAGCCACGGCTTCATGTTTGCTTCCTTTGGTCCATCTCCACCCAGGCTTTTACCACAGAGTTCAGAGTTCACTGGGGTCAACACCTGCTGAGACCAGAGTTTGCAGAAAGCACCTACTACCTCTACAAGGTAGAAACACAACATGCTTAGTTCCAGTTTGACTTATCTGCTTGGCAAGAAAGAAAATGAAACCCAAAAAGATCCCAATAAATCATTAATAAGAAAAAAAAGAGAGCTGCGAGATAAACAATGCTTAAAAACACAAGTTAACTCTCACAAACACACCCTCTTTAAAATATTTGAGAGACCCTCTATCCATTCGTCCATGTGGCTCTAGATGTTCATTCATTAAGCCCAAGAAATTGTTGTTTTATAATTATAAGTATTATTTCAGTCTTGAAAACCCAGGTCTTTTCTGTCTGACCTGTGCAGGCCACCGGTGACCCTTACTACCTCAGAGTGGGACAATCCATAGTGGAAAAACTCAATGCCTTCGCCAGGGTGCCTTGCGGTTTTGCTGCTGTGCAGGACGTCCGCACCGGGACACATGAAGACAGGTGCTGTTTGGGACAGACGAAGCCAAAGCTTTGAGGGAAACCATGAATAATATTTCGGTGTCATCGCTCTCGCGTAGGATGGACTCGTTCTTCCTGGCAGAGATGTTCAAGTACCTCTACCTGCTGTTTTCGGAGAAGAGCCAGCTGCCGATCAACATGGACGACTACATTTTCACCACGGAGGCCCACCTGCTGCCCGTCTCTCTGTCCACGACTCAAGTCACCGTCCAGACCAACGTTACGGTAAAAGTTCTCAGCAATCTGAATTACTCTTCTCGAATTTGCACAGGAAGATGTCGCTCTACGAGTATACAGCAAGAATATGTAAATTATGTATGCAACATTTTGTTGCATACAGATACAGATTGACAGTTTGTTTTGATGAAGTTCTCATGAAAGGTGCCTTATCTCTTCGTGCTGCGCTTTAGGAGGCTCCTGTTGCTCACGATGAGGATCTATTTACGCACTCCTGCCCCAGCACAGAGACATTGTTCCCCAACAACCCGTTGTTTGCCAAAACCATTAGGGACGGCTACAAGTACCTGACCGGCGTGGGACGAGCCTTCACCCCTCTACCCATCAGGTGGGACTTGGTGCAAGAGACTCTCAGTATCTCTGCCGCTGATCTGCTTGACGTGAAACTGAGTGTGTTCACGACTCCTCACAGGGAAATTGAGCTGCCGCTCCACGACAGCGGCATGGAACCGGTGGAGTTCTTGAAGAGCATGGGCATCTCTCTCACTCCTCTGAATGACTTTACCCTCGGAGACTCCATTGGTTCAAAGGTGGGCCTCGTTTACCTCTAAATCTCGTACGTGTTCAGTTACAGTTATTATCACCTCGAGAGCGTGTGTAGAAGTTTCTAGTTTAAACCTCGCTCACTTTAAATTATGAAATATTTCAAGTATGAACATTTAAAATATACTGATTCCAATATGGTGGAAGAAATTGTTGCATGTGTAGCATTAAAAAGTCCTTTCAGACAATAGTGTGATTTAACATGAGCGCAGTCAGTGCCTAATTTAAAGGTGCTGTATGGAGAGCTTAATTTAAGACTTAAATGTATTACTCTGGTCGCATTTACACACTAGAGAGTCATGACTTTGACGACTCTAGCCAGTTGCTATCGTACAATAAAAAAGGTTAATTAAAATTCCCAGCTGGCACAGAAAAGCTTTCGGTTTGCTTAATTAAAATTTACTTTGAACTTCATGGATTTTTGAAAAGTGAATTATTTGAAGGATGGCTCAGTCCTGTACAACATGTCCTCCTAGCCTGATCCCTTCACTGCATGTCTTCTTCTCTTTCTGCCACTCTTCTTGTTGTATAACTCTCAAGTAAAGGCCTGTAGTAACTCCATAACCTGTATCTTTTTCATTTCAACTAAAATACCGGACATGCAACATGATGCTCAAATATTTTTCTAGTTACAAAAGTACCCAAACATGATTGAATATGTTGAATTCAACTAGATTATTTGTCTTTTTTTTTTAATATATATTTTTAATACCTGGAGCAGCATAAAGGAGTGTTCCGCGTAAAGCTTGTCGCAGAAGTGAGCCAGACGATAGAGGAGGAGCTGGTGGTGCCGCACGCCGTTCAGCTCATATCTCCTCCGTTTCTGGGCAGGACGGTCCTCACAGCAGGACCCGCCAAGTTTGGGATGGATCTGACCAAGCAGGAGCACGGGGTGAGATAAAGAGCCTACTATTGAGACCAAACCTGAAAGAGATCTAATGTTTCAAAAAATATTGTCATATTGGGAATAGAAACATTACGGGTGTTGATCTGGTAGACTTGGTTCGATTGGCATTTTCAGCTGGTGCGTTTCACTTTTACACTGCACTGCGTCAAACAAATTAACCTCTTTGAAAAACTTGTTCCCTCCTTCACTTGTGGCGCCACTGTACCAAGAATCACTGAAGAAAATGGCACAAGAACCTCTGAAGGAGACAAGAGCGCAACTTCCTTCATCATGTAAACACAAATGTAGCGGAGTCAGATTTTAGCGGCTGAAGGATTTCTGTTTTGTCTTCACACAAAAAAATCAATATGCCATTTCTGTACCTTGCACTAGATGCACCTATGTTTGGGTTGTATTTACCCAGAATGCCTTGCACTATAGTCCACTTCCTGCTTTCGGAGCAGTCTCCGTTCCACTTGACATTCACTTATGCATCCGAGCGGCCCTAGAGTTCACTTTAACCAAACAAAAACCTAGGTTTTTAGGCAGTTCTCTTTTTCTGGTTAGCATCAGAGTTTGATTGTGCGTTCACGCCTCTCCAAATGAACCGGGTTACAAACGAACTGGAGATTAAAGCAGACTAAACAGGGTTGGTGTGAATGTACCCTAAATTCAAAGGAGTATTGTCAAATTAGATACAAAAATGTACTTATTTTTGTATGTATTTGCTTTTCTCACTAACGTAAAAAAAAAATTGAAACTAAAATGAATTCCCTTCTTACCACAGGTGAAAGGAACCATAGTGAAAGCTTCCCCCTACACTGCCTGTGGGCCAATAGAAAACGCAGCAGAGGTTAAAGGCCGTATTGCACTTGCATTACGCGGTGACTGCATGTTTGCAGCCAAGGCTCGTTGGCTGCAGCAAGCTGGAGCCGGTGGAGTCATCTTTATAGGTGAAAAAAAGTTTGTATTCTAACAATACCTCTCGTAGTTTTTTAATGTTTCGGGAAGTAAATTATCGACAAACTTCCCCGTCGCACAGATCATCGCGAAGGAAGTAACAGCGAGGAGACGCCCCTCTTCCAGATGGTCGGAGACGGCGACTCCACCGAAGACATCACCTTGCCTTTAGTGTTTCTGTTCAGCCGGGAGGGCGCCGTGCTCACCTCCGCCCTGGAGGAACATCACAACGTGGATGTGTTGCTGCTGCCGAAGGAGAGGCAGCTGGGACATGGTGAGGACCAGGAGGAAGTCCATTAAAACATAAAGCACTCCACGTTGTGTATTTCTGTTGCCGTTTAATTCAGCAGTTAGAACTAAGTTTTGCTATGCAGGAAGTTAATGATGGAATTCAGCCACAAGCCTGAGAGTCTGATCGAAAGAGATATTTTCTTCTTGCATATTTATTTTTTCGTTGGTAAAATGGTGTTGCAGCTCCAAACAAACGTATCGGCACGCCTTGGAAAAGAAGTGTAAAAAGTCTTTCACTAATTTAATCTTTCATGGCGGTAGCAAAACCTCACAATGAAAAATTTAGGAACATTTTTGTATTCCACCTTTTAACTTTGATATTTTTTTCCAGAAACTTCTAATAAGAATCGAATAACCTTTCTTTTAATTTCACACAACGTGCAAGATAAATATGATAGGTGGAAAAAGAAAAAAAAAAAAGCAATTTCTATAACAAGCGTAGAAATTTAGAGTTTTATATACTCTTCTGGTATTTTTTACAGAGGGTCAGTTCTTTAGTTAGATAAGACTAAGAACAAACTTAAGCAAACAAGTAAGATGTGGACTAAAACTCAGGATAAATCTGTGCAAAAACACCCTCTGCCCCCTGCTAGGTATGGTGAAGGATCTGTGGTGCTGTGGGCTTGATTCTCTTCGAAATTCCATGGGAACTTTTTATATGTAGCGTCATATACTCTTTAGGACATTTAAAATAAAAATCAGATGGGTTCTATCAGTACATTTATTTAAAAAAAAACAATAACACTTCCTCTACGACTTCTCAGTCCCCAGACTTAAATCCTATAAAAACATCTCTTTTGAAAGTCTGTTTTTTATAGGGTATAGATTTTGAGTTTATATAATTGAGTTTTTCTGAGTTTTTATTCTTGCTAGGATCTAAAGAGGCTACAAAAAGAGGGTTTGTTCAAAAACGCCAGCCTCTGGACGCCTCAAGCTTCTTGTGAAATGTTATAGGAGAACACTAAGTGCTTAACAGCATCAACAATTTAACAACTTTTTTTTTTACCCATTAAATAGCTTCACTCAAGTTTAAGTTTTTAGGAATGTCAAATGTGTCGATCAGTGTACCTGTTATATTGAAGTTCCAGTGAATGACCTATAATTGCTTATATATGTCAAGTTTTATTTGCTGGACTTTACTTATAACTCCATTCTTAAATATAATTCTTAAAGTAATAACATCAGATCTTATTTATGTGTGTGGTATGAGTGTCCCTTCTGAGTTTATGCATTTTATTTATTTATTTTTGTTTGTTTTGTTTTTGCAGATAAATCAGAAAAACCTGTCAGCATGAACATAAAACTCCGCCTGAGAGAGGAGGGGGGGTCGGAGGGCAGAGCAGCTCCAGGAACCACACTGGAGCTGGTTTTGGAGGACGAAGAGGTCCTCCTTAAAGAGACGGACGAAGAAGAGCTTGGCGGAAAACAACAGTCACAGCGCCAACAGGTCTGCTCTCAAAGCAGAACTGGACCCTGTTCTACAGACGCTCCGCAAGCCCTGAACTCCAAACCCGAGCCAGGCACAAACCCTTGACCGCTGTGGTTCCCTAAAGCTGCTGGCTAGTTGGTTTGTGAGCAGCATGTGGCCCCTCTCTCTCTGCTCTGCAGCACAGCCTGCATGTTTACAATTAACAGAGAGGATGTGAATTTACGGCTCCATGTTTATGACACAGTGGGATCAGAGGGACTCTGCTCTCAGCCGGAACATGAGCTGGTCTCCTGTCGCCGTAGCTACAAACAGCTTGTGGCTGCGATGTCGTGTCCCAGTAGAGCAGGATTTAAGGTCGTCCTAACCTAGGGGGGAAGCTTAGAAGAGGTAACAAAATGTATGCAATTTGCTTTTAATCTAGATTGCACCTTTTTTAACTTCTTCAAAAATACTGTTTTGGCGGTCCGTAACGATCGGTGGAGTCTTACTTGGCCAGTAGGTGGCGTCAGCTTCCATAAACTCTCAGTTGCAACATGTGTAAGGTGGATGAAGGAGACAAGCTTGGGGTCTTTTGGAAAGTAAATTTTGTACTAGGTAGAAACTTCAGGGACTTGATGAGTGAATGCAGTATGCAAGATTGACCAATTTTATTATTTTTTTTTAATGTGCACATTTGAGGGGGAATGTTTTGCACTTCTTCTGGCTAATTAAAGAGTTAGCATTAGACTGTGTGTGTAGTTTATTAACTAGGCTATATTTATATAAAAATGAATCTCGGTTGAAACCTCTAAACCTAATCAGGCAAATAACAAATAAGAAGAAAAAATTGCGAGTAATATTTGAGATTCATTGCAGGCTTTGGTTCTTAATATTGTATTTGTACAAATTTTAGGAAAGCTAATTTCAAATTACCTTGTGAAAAAAGTGAAAAACACATTCAATCACCACCTTGCAGTCTGGGGTGATCATATCCGATCGTTAGCTCTGAACTTATTGTATATTCCAACCGTGTTTAAATCCCATGGTGATTCCTAATATAAAACCAAAGTTAAACATCTCCACACAGAAAAAAATGTTGTTCAACATTTAGTTATGAATGTTTTCTTTTCAGGTGTGCAGCAAGATTTCATTTCACGTTTGTCACGGTTGCATAAGAAATAGAAAAAACTTTTCTCCCCAAGACATTTGGATGAGTTTTGGATTTATTTGCACCGGTTAGCAGTCCAGTTCACATTGTGAAGTTTTTCACGGGCATTAATATGTGCAATGACTTTTTTTTTTTTTTTCTTCAGTCACTTTCTGTTGCTGGTTTTTGCTCTCACTACTCATAAGTTGCACATTTTCCACTTAATGTTTTTTGACCAGTGGACTATTTTTCACACTCAAAACTGATTTTAGATCAGAAATCCGATAGGATTTTGTAGGGCAAGGAGACTTCTCTAAGATTTATTGCTAAGTTTTTTTTGTTTTGTTTCATTTTTTTTTTTACCTCAGGTCTGTGCACATTATTCTTCATGCAGAATAAAATGCCAATAGAGGGCAAACCAAGGACACCTTTTTGTTTGATATTTTATGTTATTTATTATTATTTCTCTGATTAACAACTGCAGCCTAAAATGTGCCAAAAGAGCTGTAATAATCTCTACACATTATGTTTTCTTTCAAGGTGCAAGCAGAGGGAGTCCTATAGGTTTCGCTCTTTAACTAATATTTCTGTAATTGAGCCTTTGCCATACTTTTTTTTTTTAGCCTCGGAGAAATATTTTAGGAGCATTTGAATGTTTTTGGACTTGACGATTTGCTTCTAATTGTTGATTTCTGTATCCGTGGAGTGACATTTTACGTTGACCAATCGAGAAAATATGAGAGGTTCACCCAGGTGAATTTGAGAATAAAGATATTTGTAACTTCCTTTTAGCATTTTATTTTTATTTTGCATTTGTTGTTAACTTCTTTTTTTTTATTTCTATGCTTTTTCTTCTTTGCTGAAACTGAAACACAATTCATGCATTTGCATAGACGCAGAAGAAAGTGATACAACTTTACCATTGCTGATAAGCTGCAGGGGTTACTGAGACACACACCAACAACGTTTTGGAATAATTCATAAAACATTAGTTCACCGCTTTGGAAATCTATGACATTTGCACAGTTTGTCCTGGAATCGTCTGCCATTAGTCATAGCTTCATCATGCTCGGTTAAAAGCCTGCATGGAAACTAAGATGGTCAGGGATTTGCACTTTGCACAGTGAGAAGGGGCTTCACTTTTAATCATTCTGATCATACATTTACATATATTTATAATTTAATAAAGTTCTTTTTTGAAGGTCATGTTGTGTCCAGTTAAGCCCAGAAGAGTTCACAGTCCTTGCACGTTTTGATTTGAAATAATCAAAACTTGAATCAACCAGATCAGATTCATGACTTCAATATGATAATCTGATGAAGAAGCTAAAGATTAGGGGGATGGCAGCGAGGGGTTTCCAAATACAAAAGATGCAAAGGACTGATTAGCAAACGTGAGCAGCTACATGTTTGCTGTAAAACCAATACAGTCTTTTCCACTGGTTATTGATAAGGGTATAAATCATTTTAATAATACCCCTTTTTTATACAAATAAAATCAGGCAACTTGCTACTCTAATTTAATTTGGCTGTATGTGGCGAATCTGTACAAATGATTTTGACCCTTTGTGGATAAAGAAAAAAATAAAATCACACTTGTGCTTTTGTTCTTCTGAACAAAGCGTAGTGCAAACCATTAGACTTTCTGAATTAATATGGGTTTTTTCAACATGTAAATAAACCTCTTGCAGTCTTTTCTCTTCTTTTTTTTGCTATATTTACAAATAAAAGTTTGAAATTGCACATTTTAGAAAAAAGAAAGTCATGAAACTCAATTCTGGTGAGTTGAACTTTTCTTTCACCACTGCTTTCAAGTCAGTCAAAGACAGTGTTAAATATATATATATATATATTCTCCTTTTACATCTTTTTGCAAACTTAAAAAAGGTTACACAAAAAAAAGTAGCGTAAATGCTTTAGGCTGTGGTTTGAAAGCAAGGCTGATCTACATTTAATTCCTCTTTCGTAACTATTTCATCTCTAACTGAGCTTTGGACTTCCCCTTCTAGAAAAGCAATAAGCACTCAGGCCAGATTTGTTCTAGTTCTAGTCGGGGGCAGAATAAATCTACCATGTTTGTCTTGTCACTACTAGATATATTTCAAACACCCGCTGCTTGGTGAAGAGTTGTCTCATAAGAACAAATTAATTCAACTTCAACAGTAAAAAAAAAAAAAAAAAAGCTAAAAAATTGGGCGATTTATTTCACTCTGCGTCATGAGATAAACTAATTAGGACGTCATGCATAGTAAACGGGTCCCTCCACGTCATGGCGCTGCTACATCTAATCTCCAGTAAACTGATACCTTCAGGTGCTGTGGGAAAGCGTTGGTCATACTTGATGTGCCTCGAGTGAAATTAAAATGAAACGTGGAAATTTAAGTCACGTTTTTTGGGTAATAATGTAGTCGGTTCTCCAGCATAAGTTTTTTTTATTGTGCTTTTCATTTGAATTATTTAAGATTGTATAAGAAATCCAAGAGATTTTTTATAATAGGTATTGTTTTACTTTTAGTAACTGAGCTCTAGCTGTGCTAATTGAATAAGTATAAAAGGTAAAATCCTAAAATATTCACTCTTCTGTCTTTTATTTACTTAGGGGACACTAGTTTAACAATATTGTGTTAAAACATGATTTTTTTCACACAAACTTTTCACAATCAAAAGTCAACTAATTGTGAATACTAATGGGGTTTTTTTGTCAGAAAATGTTGCCATCTTTCTGCCGATTTCTATTGTTTTTCTTTTCTTTCTTTGGTCACATTGTTCAGATCACTCCAAAAATTGCTAGAGTAAATGCAAAATGCATTATAGTGATGATTTAAAGTGGAAGGTATACTTGAGGACTGGAGTTGTTTTACAAACATGTTACTTCTGATTTGAAGCAATGTTAATGTTAAGCAAGAATCTGATACAGAAACTGGAAAGGAAGCTAAATATTAAAGTAATGGTAAAGAGGCCTTCCAACCTCAAGGAGGGAACATGAATGCAGAAGGAAATATGTAAAAGCAGGGTTTCACTGCACTAATGCCAATAAAGATTTTTTTCATTGATTACTGAGAATGTTTTATATAATTTCCAACAGACTATCTCATTTTCTTTCAGAAACAAGCCTCTTGTTGAATAAAAATAATTAATAAAGTAAATTTGCCATGGTTATGAATATTTTTAGGATTGACTCTCCAACTTCAACACATAGCAACCTGTTTGAAAAGTAATTGTTAAAAGTTAATTTTGACATCAGACATTATCACTAGGTCTCTCAAATTCTTTATACAGATCAACCAACACACGTTCATTCATCTAAATCAACTCTATGAGTTTCTCCTTTTGAACTGTACTCAAACAGACTCAATTTCTAATTTACTGAGTCGGAAAGAGTCGTGTTGGACTTTACGAGGGAACCCTGAAGGTACCATATCAAACACTTGGCCACCCCTTCCTCCTCCGCCTCCTCCTCCGCCTGAAGCTCCACTATCTTTAGCCCTGACGCGGATTACGCTGCGCAGTGAGTGTGGGATCAGTCGGTCGGCATCCCCTCCGCTCGGTTTACCGCTGCTGTCTGTAACATCGCGCTTTGCTCCGTTCCTGCGCCACTGAAACCATAAAGCAAAAACAGAAACAGAAATAAAGTGATGGGGGAATGACAACAACATTCGTCGGTCCTCCGTCAAGCAGAAGACCCCCAGGATGCTGCTGTTTTCCAGTCCGCGGTGCGGCCACCAGCACCGGGCCTCGATGCCGCTGCTGCTCGCCGCCGCGCTGCCGCTGCTTATGCTGCTATGTTACGTCCCCGTGAGCGCCAGCCTCCCAGGTAAATGCTCACATTTATTAAACCTAAAGCTGGGCAGGAATTGCCCAAAAGAAACAAAGGGTTGCTAGGTCACCTGTTTCCAGTACTGCTGCCAATGGTTTAAAAGAACCCACGGGCCTTTTTGTAATATTTAATTAACGCTTATTGTTTATTATGTGATGTTTGTGTGAGCAGGTTAAACCGATGGATCTGGAGGAAAGCATGAGGGAAATGAAAATTCCCTTCCTTGTCGGGCGATTTAATCTGTTTCCTTGTAAGCAGTTGTTAATAATAGACTCTTTTTGTTTTTTTGTTTTTTTTGTGGTTTTTTTTTTATGTAAGGAGGTGAATTTATTAGGTCGGGCTAAGGTAGATGCGAACTTTGCGACTTTTTCACCTGGGTACTGAATCCACATAGGTCAGGTTTACGAATGCACCAGTTGTATGCATACTAAGGCAGAGCATAAAGGATGGAAGTTGGTGATAATTTTACAGTAGGATAATTAGTCCTAAAGTTATTACTTTTCACCTTTTATACAACTTTTTCTTTAAATTAGCTCCACATTTTCAACAAAGGATGCAATTCTCTATTTACTGTATACTTTTACTTTATTCTGCCTGTGCTTTCATTCTGAGTTAGGGAAAGCTTGTAATAAATTTTGTAGAGAACAATAGGTCATATAGTCAATTTAGTTCAATGTTTTCTCTCTAGCTAATGATGAAACATTAACATGAATGCCAAATTGATAAAAGAATGGAAATTATAATGGAAGGTCAGTGGCGCTGGTATGACTGGTGAGTTTTGCTTTGGGCCATATACCATCTAGAGTAGGCTCTGTAATTGTTATAGGTAATACTATTAACTATGAAAAACATTAATTAAAATCCAGCAGTGGGATTTTAAAAGCTTACTGAATTAAATCGTTAAGTTCGAGCCATAAGGAAATCTTAAAAACTCCATCGGTTTATTTATGATTTTGCCCTCCTGAGCTGCATGTGGACAGGTTTGTGAGCCACTGTGAGATTTATTAACCCAATTTACTTCTGGGTACATGTATATCATGTGATAGCCTGGTGTTTGAATAGACAGGGAAGTTAAGCCGCTTCTCAGCTTTTAGAAAACAGAAAAAAAAAAAAAAAAAAACGATGGGAAAAGCAGCAGCTGAACCATCCGTCACTTTTAATCTTTAGCCTTTATCAGACACACAAAACCCCCAGACAGTGTCCGCATTAGCGCTGAACATTCGGTGACGTGGCACTGACACAGGCTGTGGTGAATTTATCTCAGGTTTAAGCAGCGGTAATTGTTCGCTTTAAACCACTGAAGTCTGAAGGCCATTAATACGAAATGATGTAAAGGATGAACGGAGAAACTCTGACTCAGAGACCGCAGTGTTTTTTTTTAAATTTATTAATTTATTGTTTTTACTATGTTGGCCAAGTTTTTAATCTTTATCCCTGACTTTTCTAAGCTAAAACCCAAATATTTGGCCACTTTCTTCTTGGATGTTGTGATTTAAATCTATTTATTTGTGAGAATTGTGGCTCTGACTCTAGCAAAAATGTGGATTCTTGAACTCTGTACTGCAAATACTGTGGATTATATTGTCTGTGCTGCAAAATCCTGCTCTGGTTAATGGAATTGATGCAAAAAAAATGCCTGGAAAATTATATATAGATTACAAAATTGCAAATAAAAATCAAAGTCAAAACCTTTGTTGTTCCACCTTTTACTGCAATAACAGGTGGTACTCCTACTGGACATGTGTCCACCAAAAGGAGACATAGGGAAATTTTTAAATCATGCCACATATATTCTCAACAAAGGTAGCCTGGACTTTGACTAGACCCTTCCGTTGTAGCTCTGACTGAGTGTTTAGGGTCCCTGGTGTCAACCTCTGCCATTTTTTCAATTCCTTTGCTCTGCTGCCTGTGTTTTATATGAATGCTCTTCAAATCGTCTCTGACCAGCTTTCCCACAGCATGGTGCTGC